GCAGTGGGCACAGCCCCAAGGCTGCCAGAGCTCCAGGAGGGTTTGGATGATCCTCTGGGGCACAGGGGGTGACTCTTGGGGCTGGGCCTGTGCAGGGCTGAGGGTTGGACTGATGGTCCTTGTGGGTCCCTCCCAGCTCAGGATATTCCATGATTCTGTGGCCCAGAGCTGGGCTGGAGGGATTGACCCACTCCAGTGTGGGGCATCCACTCTGCCTTGGTCACAGACACCCCCAGGACTGACCCTGCCCTAAACCCTCTTTGCTCAGGCTGGGAAATCACGTCTCAACAAAGCCCAGCCCAAACCCTGCGGCCTCTTGGTTACTCACCCCTTGTCTGCCGTGTCCTTATTAATGAAGCAGATAAGGAAGCTCTGGGATGAAGAAGCTCCATAAATTTGTACTATTATATTAATCTCATCTCCATCAGGGTGAAAACAATTGGGTACTGTGAGTTCTCCAGGCAGGCCCCAGATTTCCAGCTGACATTAATAGATGGATACACGGCCTCCAGTGCAAGATCTGTTTAATCACTGAGGCGCTCGGAGCGACTCTGGTACAACATCAGCCCCAACTTGCTCCTGTGTCGCCATGGCAACCCCCCCAAAACAAAAGGAAATGTTGAACCACCAGCAAATGGCATCACCAACATCAGGGAAGAGCCTCTGGCTCTTGTGGGGTGGTTTAGTTGCGGGGTTTAGTGCCAAGACCACGAACCGTGGAGGGGTTAGAACATTGAGAAGGTGCAAGAAAAGGCAGATGGGTGGAAATTGGGGCATCAGGGCTCTCCTGGGGGGAACTGGGAATGCTGGTTGGCACCTGAATGGGGTGCTGCCACCTGAGAGCAAGAGCACATGGTTTGGTTTTGAGGAACAAAATTAAATTCAGTTGGAACTGGATGATCTGTTGGAACTGGGTAATCTCTTGGAACTGCTTAATCTGGTGAAACTGGTTGATCTCTTGAGACTGGTTAATCCGTTGGAACTGGTTAATCCATTAGAACTGGTTAATCTGTTGGAACTGGTTGATCTGGTGAAACTGGTTGATCTCTTGGAACTGGTTCATCTGTTGGAACTGGACGATCTTTGAAGTCCCTTCCAGCCCAAACCACTCTATCATTCTGTAAAATCCTCCCAACCCAAACTCTTCTGCAACAAACAACCCCATTCCTGGTGTTACGCTGTGAACTTCCTGCACTGGGAACAAAACCTTCCCTAACATACGAAATCTGCCCTAAATCCTCAACAAAGACCCAGTTCCCTGGGATAACTTGGGATGTGAAGGCTCCAGCTGCTTTGTCACCTGTCCCAGCAGCGAGGGCAGGATGGTCACCTGCTCCTCTTCCTCACGGCCCGTGAACAGCCGTCCCCAGCAACACTTGATTTATTTGTGGATGGGAAAACCCTCCTCTTGGATGGCAAAGGAAAAAGCTTAGAGGGTGGTGGGGCACTGGAACAGGGGGGTTTGGTCGTGGCCTCAATTTGGACAATTCAATTTGGACAAAATTTGGATAATTCAGGGACATCAGGGTGGGGTTTTTGGGGTGTCCTGTGCAGGATGAGTTGGACTCCATGGTCCCTGTGAGTCCCTTCCCACTCCATGATTCCGTGATTCTCTGAAATCTCTCTAATGGGACTGAGCACCGTGGGGAGAGGGGCAGAGCAAGGGACACTGAGGCACTTTGTGAGGAGGAATATGAGGTAAAAAACTCATTATCCTCATTTTTGGGACCCCCATTTTCACCAGCATGGCCCAACCAAGGAAGGCAGTGACTTCCCAGTACCTGAGCTCCAAAATGACCCTGAGATGAGCCAGCTGGTCAGAGCTGGTGCTGGGAACACCAAGGTTGTGGGTTTGATCCACTCATTTAGGAGCTGGACTTGATGCTCCTCGTGGGTCCCTCCCAGCTCAGAATATTCCATGAAATTCTGTGAAATCCATGCTTTTTGTGCCCCTCAAACCCCTGCCTGGGGGCCAACACCCACCAGACCCTTGCAGACACAGCAGGGCTCTGCAGCTTCATCCTGATTTCCATTGAAATGCCATCCTGTTGGTATTAATAGAGAATAAATAGATTGGGAAGGAGTTTTTCTGCTGGAAGGCAAATCATGATTGACGTGATTTCTTCCCTGCCAAGGAGTTGATTGTTGGAGCTTTGACTGCAGCAGCTTCTTCAGCCTCACCTGGGAGATGAAGTCACGTGGAGGGAGATGAGCTGGAGGTACCCAAGCAGAGGATTGAGTGGGAGGAAGGATTTATTTTGGGTTATCCCAAAAACCTGCCCCAGAAATGCTTTGGAGAGGCTTTGGCTCAAAACTGAGTGGAACTGCAGGAAAGCAAAGTGGCTTTTTGGGACCTGTGTCCTGGAGGCAACAAAAGATTGGCCAAAACCTCTCTGAAAACTCCTCAAAAAAACCCCCTCAAGACCCCAAAATTCCAAGACATCTGATTAAACGCATAGAAAAACACGGACAGTCCAACTGGTCTGCAAGGAAATGGGAGTTATTTGATGGACCCAGAGCTGAGAGAAGCAAATAAAAGGTGGTTTTCTCCCTTAATTGATGCTTTTCCACCCCCAAATAAGCAGGATGGCAACTCATCTGAGCTGTGGTGGCCACAAAACCACATTCCCTCCCTTTCCACGGTTTGATTTTACATCAGAAGTTCTTTTCAAGGAGAGGGGGAAAAGAAAAAGCAAAAAAAAGGGAAAATGTGGTTATTGAAACGTTGGGACAATTTTCTTTGGTGATACAATTATTACATAATTATCCAATATTGTAATATGAAATGATATCCTAATTATTTTCAGGATGTTTGTCCATTTCCATCGATCTCCAGGATTTTTACTGGCTGTAATTCCAGCTTTTCCAAGCAGCCTTTCCATCACCCTTTTTAATTCCCTGTCTGGGAGAACTGTTGTTATTCCTGGTTTTAATCCTGATGGATTTAAACCCAGAGCATCTCAAAGGGAATATTTCCAAGCTCAGCACTGATGGATTGAGAATTGCTGCTGAAAAATAGGATTTAGGGCCGATTTTCCCCCAAACACCCCTAATTTGCTCCCTCCTGCCTCCCTGACCCTGTCCTTGCAATGCCAGCAAGGTTGGAGGAGTTTTTCCATCTCCTTCCACCGTGAGACAGAGCTGTAGTTGGTTAGGAAGGTCTCCAGGTGGTGCTTTTGGGTTTATTTCACCCTCACAGCAATTTTTTGGGGGTGTTATCAACCACAAGGGCTCCTCCAGCTGCAAAGTGATTTAAATTTGTTAGAAAAGTGCTAAAAAACCACTGGCAGGCCCAAGGTTGGAGGTGTTGGAGCTTTCCTGGCTGGTTGCACTCAAGCCCTGGCTTTGCCTTCTGGAGGTCTCAGCCTGAGGCGTTTCTCCAAGCAAGGATTTCAACGGAAAACACACAATTTTTGTGGAAAATCCTCGCTTTCCATTGTTCTCTTACTTGAGTTGAACCATTGGGTTGAGCCTGAGCAGCAAACTCGGGTTTTTTGGCACCTTCTTGGGTTCCCTGCTCTGAACCCCATGAGAAAACCCACCCAAACCCCCCCAAAACCCACTAACTAGGGGGGCTCAGCCAACACCAGCCACTGGAAGGATGAGGAAGAGGAAGGAGATGAATCCCCCTGGGAATTTGATCCCAGTCCAACAAGGGGAAACAAGAAATGTGGGGGCAGAACCCGGGAGACCTTTGGCTTTTTCCATCCAGCTTCCAGCACCAAACAGGTTTTTGAGGAATAATTACCATGTGAGTCAGCTGGATTTCCACCTGGATTAGGGTTTTGGGACAGAGAAAGAGCTGAGGGCACCACCTCCTATTTATATAATTCATATATTAATCCCTAAGTCTTTGCCACCCAAAAAATGCAACACAGGGAGAATTTACGGAAAAATTAAAAGGCAAATCCCTTCATTCTGAGGCAGGAGAAGGGATGAAGGAGGAGCAGAGCCTGCAGTGACACATGTGGAGTGATGCAACGTTCCTCCTCTTCCCAAAGCTTGACGTGGAGCAGGGAGGGAATAAAAAATCCGCCGCGTTCTCACTTCATCTTCCCAGCGCTCCTGGCTCCCGAAAAACCGGATTTGCAGAGGGATAAATTCAATCTGCCACATCACCACGGGAGCTTTGCTCACCCTGGGTGACTGATGGTCCGAGGGAAGAGCCTCTGAGCCTGCTGGCATCTCAGATCCCTCATCCCACGCTGCTCCAGAGCTCTCATTTTTGGCTTTCCTCCTGGAATTCTTGGCACTGGGATCCACAGGATTTTGTGGGTGGGGAGAACGACCAAAGCTGTTGCTGCCAGACGGTGGGTTCTTGACAGATTGGTTGTGTCACTGAAGCTGTTTTTCAGCTAAAAGTCAATTATTGTTCCAATCAGGATTCAAATCCTCGAGGTAAAACACTGGGAATCCTCCACAGTGAGATTATCCGATGCTGGTTGGGTTTCATGGCATGAGGGGCTCCCAGGATGAATTTAGGGGCTGTCAAAGTAGGACCCACACACAAGGACAACCTCAACCAGCCCCAAAAGCAACAATATTGGGGTTTTCCAGCTTTGATTTCCCCTTTTCCAGCCTTGATTTCCCTGTTTCCAGCCTTGATTTCCCTGTTTCCAGCCTTGATTTCCCTGTTTCCCCCCCTGCACTGGGATCTACCACAGAGCCAGGATTTTGTGTTGGGGGAGAACGACCAAAGCTGTCGCTGCCAGACGGTGGGTTCTGGATAAATTGGCCTTTATTGTGTCAGTGAAGCTGTTTCTCAGCTAAAAGTCAACTATTGCCTCAGTCAGGAATTAAATCTCCAGGGTAAAACCAGGAATCCTCCATAATGGGATTATTGTGTTGTGTGAGGGGCTTCCAGGGTGTATTTAGGGGCTGTCAAAGTACAGCCCCCACACAAGAATGGCCCAAAGCAGCCCCAAAATCAGCGATATCGGGTTTTTCCAGCCTTGATTTCCCCGTTTCCAGCCCTGATTGCCCCTTTTCCCCCCGTGCAGGTACATGGCCATCATCCACCCCCTGCGCCCTCGGCTCTCAGCCTCGGCCACCAAGGTGGTCATCGGGGTCATCTGGCTCCTGGCATTCCTGCTGGCCTTCCCACAGGGATATTATTCCATGATGGCAGAGCTCCCAGGACGACTGGTGTGTCTGGTGGAGTGGCCTGAGCCCGGGCCACACGTGTACGGAAAAACGTGAGTGGGGCTGGTCCTGAGGGGGGGAAATGAAGGAGGAAAAAAGGAGGGAAGGGAGGGAAGGGAGGAATTGGGAAGGGAAGGGAAGGTTTGGGAAGGTTTGGGAAGGGAAGGTTTGGGAAGGGAAGGTTTGGGAAGGGAAGGTTTGGGAAGGGAAGGGAAGGTTTGGGAAGGGAAGGGAAGGTTTGGGAAGGTTTGGGAAGGGAAGGTTTGGGAAGGGAAGGGAAGGGGGGCACATTAAAGTTAATTAAGATGAGTTTAGTGCTCAGTTAAGCTGAGTTTAGTGCTCTTTTTTCCTGGTCCAAACACTGTCCCACGATCCCTGCTCTTCCTGGATGTCCATCCACTCTTCCAGGAAACTTGTGTACAACTGCAAGGACTCAATATTTTGGCTCTGGGAGCGGGGTCTGTGTTGCCCCAGGGGCTGGTTCATAAACACAGGCACAGCTCTGGTTTTTACAGCTCTAAAGGCTTCCTGGGGTGAGAGTTATTCCTGCCAGAGGGAAAGATGATTTTACCAGGGGTCTCTTGGCCAGGCAATAACAGAAATAACCCTGGTTTGGGATTTCTCGAGTCCAAACACCCCGTACTTCACTCAGCAACTTAAACCAAGCTACAGAAAGGGGCTCTGTGGCCTCAGCCAGGCTGGAAGGCAAAGGCTGGGCCAGGAGGGCTCTGCAGGAGTCTTTTCTTCCCATTAAAGTGCTGCCTAATTAATCCTTGCCTTTCCAAAGGGTCCAGCAGCCCTGCTTCGGTCTTTGAAGCCCAGGGGGAGTTAAATGCCATGTGTGGAGGAAAAAAAGAGAGAGCAGGGGAGACAAAAAGGGGAGGGAGGGGAGAAAAAAGGCATTTGTGATCTCCAGCCCTGTGGAGAGAGGAATTAGGGCTGGGAAATTCTCCTGGAGCCCAAGCAGGGACTCACAGCCACATGGGGAAGTGTTGAAAGCCAAGCTGAGCCTGGCAAAGCCTCTCTGTGACACAAATGGGATGAGTTTGTCCATCAGCAGTGAGGGGCAGGTCACAAATTGCTGGTTGGTGTAATTTATATCCTTATTTATTTGCATTGTGAGGCAGGTGTGGCACAAACAAAGATGGGCCTGGCCCAGCCGAGCTCCGGAGGGCTTTTCCAACCTTTATTCCTTGATAGTCCAATCACTGCAAAGAAACACCCCCCAGGATGGGGCTGAGCCCCCCAAAACAAAACAGGAACTGAGACAGCTCAGGGTCTGATCATTTCACTGGGTCGTTCACTGGGGCTGTTGCTTTTCCAGAGGGTTAATCCAAGGAAAAAATGCCTCCAAGCCAGAGCATCCCATGCTCCCAGGAAAGCTGGGAAAGCAGCTGCTCAGCAGAAGCTTGTAAGCAGCCAAACTCCCAAGAATTTGAGGATTGAAAGGAACTTGCAGCTCCAGCAGCATCGAACCTCACGGACCCTCCTATGCAAAGCCCAGCGGAGCTCGAGAAGGGATTTTCCTGCCCCAAAATAACTGCAGGGACAGGTGTTTGGAGCACTGTGAGCCCTCCTCTCCTGCTCCATGGCCTTGGAAAGGTTATTTTGGGAAGGCAGCAGTGGCAGCTGCTTTGCTTGTGACGCCGTGATGAAAAATGACATCATTTTTTCAGCTCCTGAGGGAGAAAACGAGAGGTTTCTCCTCACTCCAGGGGGTTTCTGTTGGGGAGTGGAGCCTGGAAAGTCCATCCTCAGGATGCAGAGGGTGTCAGAGGCTGGGATGGGATTTTTCACTGGGAAAATGTCCTTGTTGGTGGAGGGGAAACCTCGGCACAAGGAGTGTCTGCAGCAGGAGCTGACAATTGCAGCGGATTCGATTGTGCCATCGATCCCCTCTCTCTCTTTTGTTCCCAAATGGATGGCTAGTCTATTCCAATCTTATCAGCTGCCACTTCTGCTTGTTAAGGGAAGGGAAATTCCCCCCCAGTCGCTGTTTCTCCGGAAGATCAGAGCCCACAGGGAGATCCTTTATATGGCAACAGATCTGGGCTTTGCGAGGCAGCTCCATCCTCTGGCATCCCAAAACTCCTCCAGGTTTCTCCATCCCACACAAGACCTTAAATCCCTTAAATTACAAGCCCCAGGTTTCTCTGAGTGCTCTGATCCTGCAGTCCTTGCAGGCAGAATAACACACAAGTAGTTCCACAGAACTGGCTGGTTTTCCACAGGAAAAAGTCTCCAAGGGCTCTCTGGGATCCCTGGCCGTGCCCAGGCAGCTCTGGAAAAAGGGTCTGTCTTGCTTTTGTTGTCTCCCAGCTCCTCTGAGGAGGAATTTCTGCAGAACTTGGAGCTGTTTGCAGCTGCTTTAAGATCCTGCCTTACATGGGAACCACAACAAAACCCTCCTCGTGGAGCCACAGAGACGCCTCTTTAATTAGCAAAATGGAAAACAGCCCCACAAAATCCATCCCAAATGTGATTAGGGCTGGGGGAGGAGAAGGCCAAATGAGATTGCAGGTACTAAACAAGGAGGAGATGGCGTGGCCAGCCCCATTCCCTGTGGGAATTGCACCGGGCAGGAGCCTGATCCATTCATTTTAACTTTGGGGATATTATTCAATCAAATATAGGGAGGACAAGAGCTGAGGGTGGTCCAGGGCCTGAATGGCCTCCAAAAGATGCAGCACCTTCCATTCCAGCCCCAAAAATCAAAGTAAAGACCCTAAAGCTTATGAATGAAATTCCCTCTGACCTGGCAGTATTTGGGACGATTTTCAAGCTGGCACCAGAAACATTCTGTCCCACTAGAACTTGACTTCCCACAGGACAGAGAGGTTTCTGCAAGCTCCGGGGGTGGGAAGGAACCTGCAAGGTCAAAGTGTCCACCCCCGTTCTGTTTGGGAAAACCAGCATGATTTTATTCCTGTTTAACCCCCTTTATTTAACCTAAATCCTCACTGAATTCCCACTGAATTCCCACTGAACCTGCCACAGCTCCACCAACCCCCAACAAAACAGCCCCCAGCCTGTGGTGAGTTTAATTTAGAGTCTCTCGTTGGGGTTTGGATTTATTTATGCATGTTATAAACACACTCAAGGATCCTGCCCTTTCCTGGAGAGTTCTCCCAGCCTGGAGAACTGGCTCAGCTGCTGAATTCACTGAAAAGTTTTAATAAACCTCCCTGACAAGAGTCTGGGTTTTCTGGGGGACTGGGGTTATTCTCAGTGCCACCTGAGCCTGGCTTAACCCCTGGTGGACCAGGATTTAGGTGAGCTCCATTCTATCCTGCAGGAAAAGCCTTTATTTCTTCAGCTTGATATTCCCGTCTTTCAAATGCCCAAAACACACATTTGCTGGCAGGATTTCCAGCTGAAAGGCGGAAGAAGAGGCCACATCCATCTCTGGGATAATTTGGGGTGTAAAAAACTCCCCTCAGCTGCAGCATCCTTCCCTTGGGAAGTAGCACATCCCATTCCAGGAGGGTGCCAGGGGCTGGCAGGAGAGGCTTGGAGAGGACTGGGATGAAAGTAGGGAACCTTCCCAGTCTGGGTTGAAAGTAGGAAGCCCTTTCCAGCCTGGGATAAAGCAAGGGGTCCTTTCCAGTCTAAAATAAAGTAGGAAGTCCTTCCCAGCCTGGGATAAATTAGGGAGTCCTTCCCAATGCTGGGATGAAAGCAGGGAGTCCTTCCCAGACTGGGGTGAAAGGAAGGAGCCCTTTACAGCCTGGGGCAAAGCAGGGAGTCCTTCCCAGCCTGGGATAAAGTGGGAAGACCTTCCCAGCCTGAAGTCAAAGAAGGGAGCCCTTCCCAGCCTGGAGTGAAAGCAGGGAGTCCTTCCCAGCCTGAGCTCAGAGGAGGGAGCCCTTCCCAGCCTGGGGTAAAGCAGGGTGACTTTTCCAGTCTGAGGTGAGAGGAGGGAGTCCTTCCCAGCCCAAGATCTACAGGAATTGTGCCAAATCCTCTTTGCCCATGTGCCACACTTCACCTCTGATCTCAGTGGGCAAGACAAGGACTGAGCAGGTGAAGGACCATCTCAAGGACCACTTTTTTTGGTAGGTACCACTTCTGCATGACCATCCTGATCTACTTCCTGCCCCTCCTGGTCATAGGCTGTGCCTACACCGTGGTGGGACTCACCCTCTGGGCCAGCGAGATCCCCGGGGACTCCTCCGACCGCTACCACGAGCAGGTCTCGGCCAAGCGGAAGGTGAGGAGCTCCAGCCATAACTCATGTCCAATCCCAGCTAATCCCAGCCCTAAATCCTTCATCAGGGGTGGGAACAGGTCAGGACTTGGAATATGCTGAGTGAAGGGACCCCCAAGGATCATGGATCCAAGTCCTGGCCCTGCACAGACACCCCAAAATCCCGCCCTGTCCCTGAGAGCGTTGTCCAAACCCTCCCGGAGCTCTGGCAGCCTTGGGGCCGTGATCAAACCCTGGGGAGCCTGGTCAGTGCCCAAACAGCCTCTGGAGGAAGAACCTTTGGCTGAGATCCAACCTGAGCCTGCCCTGACACAGCTCCAGCCATTCCCTGGGTGCTGTCCCTGGTCCCCCCAGAGCAGAGCTCAGTCCCTGCCCCTCCTCTGCCCCTGCCCAGGCAGTTGGAACTGCAGTGAGGTCTCCCCTCAGTCTCCTCCAGCTGAACACACCAAGTACCCTCAGTTGCTCCTCATAAGGCCCCTCCAGACCCTTCTCCATCCTCATGGCCTCCTTTGGACACTCTCCAATGGCTTCATGTATCTTTTTTATATTGTGGTGCCTCAAAACTGCCCCAATATTGAGATGAGGCCACCCCAGTGCAGAGCAGAGTTGTTGAAAATGAAACACAGCGTCCTCCAATGTGTGCCCTCCACAGAAGTGGGTGGTTTAACCAGGATTTTCCTAGCTGGAAACGTCTCTAGGGCCAAAAGAGATAGGTGGGATGACTGATGGCTGGCCCTGTTTCCCTGCCCTCTGTCCCTGGCTCAGGTGGTGAAGATGATGATCATCGTGGTGTGCACCTTCGCGCTGTGCTGGCTGCCCTACCACATCTACTTCACCCTGCAGTACTTCCACCCCGAGTGGTACTTCCAGAAGTTCATCCAGCAGGTCTACCTGGCCATCATGTGGCTGGCCATGAGCTCCACCATGTACAACCCCATCATCTACTGCTGCCTCAACGACAGGTGGGTTTCTGTTGCTGTTAAGTTGAGACGGCCAAAGCGACACAGGGTCATCTTCTTCCAAAGCAGGGTCAGGATAGAAGGATGGAGCAGGAGGACCTTTATTGCAACAGGTTACAGACATTTATACTCTTCACACAACACACATGTTAACCTAGAGTTGGTGCTTCTATATACATATACTTCAGGATTGGCTGTCAAATAGCAAAGTCATGGTGACCATGCTTAGTCATGATGACCTGGTTAGAGCTGAGTCACGGTGACCTGCAGAAAGTCCAGGAAACCTGTTTTTGTAATTCCTGTCTTCCATCTTCTTACTTCCTTCTGACAGACCTGTTGTCAACCCTGACAGGTTTCCAGGGACACCTTTGTTGGGACAGGGACAGGAGGAGTGGGAGATACAGAGGGGTCTGATGGATAAGGGGAGGGAGGGAGGGAGGGATGGATGGATGGATGGATGGATGGATGGATGGATGGATGGATGGATGGATGGAGAGCTTTTTGGGATGGTTCTGCCCCACCCTCCATTAGGAGCTGCTTCCAGCAGATGCTGGAATAGTACAACCATCACCTAAAGTCTTTCCTAAAGGCCCTGTGGGATTTGAGGTATCAAAACAGTCCTGACTAAACTTCCTTGTGAGGGGCAGGGGAGGGGCAGGCACTGAGCTCTGCTCTGGGGGGACCAGGGACAGGACCCAGGGAACGGCCTGGAGTTGTTCCAGGGTAGATTTAGGTTTGATCTCAGGAAAAATTCTTCCCCAGAGGGTGGTTGGGCACTGAACAGGCTCCCCAGGGTTTGGCCATGACCCCAAGGCTACCAGAGCTCAAGGAGCATTTAGGCAACGCTCTCAGGGACAGGATGTGACTCTTGGGAATGGTCCTGTGCAGGGCCAGGAGTTGGGCTGATGATCCTTGTGTGTCCTTCCAACTCAGCATATCCCGTGATTCTCTGAAATGGAGATTTATCAGTGGATTTCCCCCCCTTTAGCAAAAAGCAGCATTTCTAGTTGTGTTCAGCAGTTCTCATCTCTACCTCCCCACTCCCAGTGAGGCCCCTTTGCCCTCCCCAGGCCCCTCACCCCTGATTTCTCCCCCCAGGTTCCGTGTGGGCTTCAAACACGCGTTCCGGTGGTGCCCCCTGGTCAGCGCGGGTGAGTACGAGGGGCTGGAGCTGAAGTCAGCCCGGTACCTGCAGACCCAGAGCAGCGTCTACAAGGCCAGCAGGATCGAGACCACCGTGTCCCTGGCCGTGGGGATGGCGGAGGAGGAGCTGGAGGAGCCCTCCAAGGCCAAGCGTCTCTCCATAGATGTGACCTCCAACGGCTCCTCCCGCAGCGACTCCAAAACCGTCTCCGAGAGCTTCAGCTTCTACTCCAACACCCTCACCTGAGGGGCTCCCCGGCTCCATCAGCCACTCCTGAGGTGCCACCACCCCCCTGCCCTCACCGGGACGCTCCAGGGCTCCACCCACGGCCCTGGTTTGTGATGTGCTGGTGTTTTCTGTGGTGTTCTGTCATCTCCCACTCGCTCGCCATCCCCGGGTGAGCCCAGCAGGGAAAGCTTTGGATTAGTTCCATGTGTTCCATCATGACCTGTGTGGAGAGGGTGCAGGAATGGGACAGAGCTGGCTCTTCCTCCAAAACTGTGATTACAACTTGGCAGGAGCTTCCCATGTTCTCAGCAAGGATCTCCCAGTGCATCCCACACCTCTGGAAAATGAGCCTGTCCTGTGCTTTCCCCCTTCCCACCTTTAATTTCGTTCTGCCTGTCACCCCCAGTTGGATATCCGGGGGGATATTTAGTTCCAAAATCCAGGAAAAATGTTGTTTTCGACATCAGGAGCCTGGACATCCATTGGGAATCATCATCCATTTGGAGCTTCAGTCAGATCCAGGATTTTCCATGTGGTCTTGGCTCTTCTCCAGCACCCACATGGATGGTCTCCTGCTCTGTCTCCAACCACAGCTCATCCAACAAGGCTCTCCCAAAGGATTCCTGACCTAAGCCAGGCTTTGCTTGCTCTCAATCAACCACATGTGCCAAAAACAATCACTGTGACTTCCTAGAAAGCCCGAGGTGACGCTCCTTGGACAGATCCTGGAATCCTGTGGAGGTCTGGAAAAGGAGAGACCACATTGAAATGTTTTTCACACCCTGGAAACGGATTCCATCAGGAAAATAAGGTTTGAAGGGAGATGAAGATTTTTCCAGACTCTTTTTATTTAGAGGAGGGTGAAATGATTTACCTCCACCTTCTGGATTTCATTTAATCAGGGAATTTGTTTTTTTCTGTTGCAGAAAACATGAAGTTTATGATGTGTGCATGGATACATGGAATATTTTAGTCCTGCTCAGATGGATAATTTTCCCTGGGGCTGCTCAAGGACCCCTGCTCAAGGGTCATCAAATGGATGAACACACTCTCAGAGGGGGGAAAAAAGCAAATAAAATGAGATGTGGACAAATGTGGCTTGTTGGGGACAAACCCACAAGTTTGGGGGCAGTCTGGTTGATGGTCCAATCCCTCATTTTTGGCTCCTAAATGGATTCAGTGAAGGAATGAGAGATGAACAGTGGAGACACACATAGGGCAAGGAAAAGTTATTTTCAAGCAGCTGAACTGATATCAGACCCTGCTGAGCAGCCAGAGATCTCCGGGAGTAAAAAAGGAATGACTTTTGGGGCTTTTCAACTCCTCAGGCTCCAAACTGGCTGTTGGAAGAGCTAGTCCTGGATAAATCCCAGCCCCGACGGCTCTTGGAGATGAACACCCACATATTTAAGGAATTACTCCAGCAGAAATTCAATGAATGGGCAAATCCAGGACCAACAAAAGGGGATTGACAAGAACGATCATTTTTACCCCAAATCCTGCCAAGTGCCCTTAGAGGAAGAGCTCTTCCACCCTCTTCCCAACCACAACGTGCTCTGGACACACCCTGGAATACACTTTTCCTCCTTAAATTCTTAATTCTTGTCGCTTTAGGACACATTCCCGTGTCTCTGCCTCCCAAACTCCGGGATCCTGGAGAAGGGGAATGGCAGGACCCTGCCTGGGGAGTTGGTTTTCCATAACCCCACCAGTCCCAGGGGCGGCAATTGAAGATTCCAAGGGTTTAACTCCAGGGATGGACAAGGAAACCTTTCCCACCCAGTCCATAGGAGCCAATACCTGAGAAGGTGCTACAAACCAGAGCCAAAATCTGATTTATTTCCAGCTGCCAACCCAAACTCACAGTTTAATGACACCAAATATCTCCACATGCTCCAGAAAGGTGAATAAAGCAAGGGGAGATTGGCTCAAACCCCTCACAGGAGAGTTTGTGTCGGGTTTTGAGCCTCCAGAAGTCAGAATTTATGGAAAAAACCCATAAATATCTCTCTCTATGTGTATGTTTAGATATTTATAACCACGCTGCCCTTTTGGCCTCTGTGTTTTGTGCCCCAAGGATGATCTTTGAGATGATCATGAGAAGGGCAAAGCAGTGACAAGTGTCTTCTCACAGGCAAGGCTCAGCTTGAGACGTGGGATAACCCCAGGGAGTGAGGGCAGATTCAATTCAAACAGACAGTTTACAGCCCGAAATGCTTCTTGGGCATCTTGTATCTCTTGAAATAAAGTGGGGGAAATTCCCACCTGTTGTAAATAGTGTTGATGATCCCAGTGGAGCCTGACCAGGATGATGGGAATGTGTCAGGGGATCGTCCAAGAGCTGGTGATCAATGTAAGAAAACCAAACTGTTGTGTGTAAATGGGTACAACCCCCAAACCTGGTCTTCCTTTCTCCCCTCCAAGTGCCAAGTTATTTGCTGGGGGAGGCAGGAACAGGGACAAGGATCTTTTCATGTTTAGGATCTTGGCCATCCCAAGATGGGATGTTTGGTCCATGTCCACTCATGTGACAAACATAGAATGGTTTGGGTTGGAAGGGACCTCAAAGCCCATCCCATTCCACCCCCTGCCATGGGCAGAGACACCTTCCACCATTCCAGGTTGCTCCAGCCTGATCTTGGACACTTTCAGGGATCCAGGGGCAGCCACAGCTTCTCTGGGAATTCCATCCCAGCCCCTCCCCACCCTCATAGGGAAGGATTCCTTCCCACTATCCCATCTCACCCTGCCCTCTGGCACTGTGAAGCCATTCCCTGTGTCCTGTCCCTCCATCCCTTGTCCCCAGTCCCTCTCCAGCTCTCCTGGAGCCCCTTTAGGCCCTGGAAGGGGCTCTCAGGTCTCCCTGGAGCCTTCTCTTCTCCAGGTGAACCCCCCCAGCTCTCCCAGCCTGGCTCCAACCCTTGGAACGTCACCAGGCAACGTTTTCACCACCCTTGGGATGTTCTGGGCATGAAAAAAACCACAGGAAAGTCTTCTGAAGACTGAAAAGCCTAAAACCAGATGCCCCTTCCCAGACGTACGGTCCCTGCTCTGTTTCCATCTCTCCTCTTGAACCCATCAGCTCAGTCCAGAGGCTTCCCCAGTTTTATTGAGCCCCTGTCCCTGGTTAGTTGGCAGATCTCTGGTTTGAAATTCAGCTGCAAAGCCAGAGAGTTTCTTTGGCTCTTTCCTGGCACATCCAAATGCAGAGAGACTGGAGAGACCGGAGAGGCTCAGGGCTGCCCAGATCCCTCTGCCATCCCCTCCTTGGAGCCCAATATAACTCCCATCCTCACAAGGGGAGCTGCTGAGCCCAGTTCCAACAGACTCCAAGCCAAAAGCACTGCAGGGAGGAGCTCTAAACCCCAAATTCCAGCCTAAAGCCACCTAAGTCATTGATTATAAGCTCAGCTTTGCATCCTGCGTTGCTCTTCCCACTTATCAGGAACACAGAGCAGCAAATCCCCGTCCCCAGCTCAGCTACTCCAAAACACAACATTTCCAGCCCGTTTCAGGTGTAACCTTTTATCCCCCACCAGCAAAAACCAACCAACAGCCTCTTTGGGTGTTTTGTCAGAGAAATCCGGCAGCTTTGGGACTGGAAGCCAAGCACAGATTCCCATTGTTTGGAATCAGTCACAGGATTGCCGGTGGATACAGAAAAAACCTGCCCCACCCACGTCTTTATTCTTATTTTTATTTTGCTGCCCCTCCCCATCTGCCAGCGGAGGTGGAAGTGGAGTATCCGTTGTTTACAGAGCTTTTCCACAGGGATGACATGGATTTCGGGTGTTTTTATCTTGCTGTGTCCTGGCCAGAGCCCTCCTGTGAGGTTGCACAACCCCAAAGCCCAGCCCAGGAGCCCCTGGATTTTATTTGCTATTAAAATAATAACAATTATTTAAATAAACCCAACCTTTCAGCCTTCAGGAATTGATCCAAAGTGATTCCTTCATTCTAGGATATGTCATAAATCTCCCATCCTGCCCCAAAAAACCTGTTTCCAGCTGAATAATTAATCCAGTCCCAATAATGGAAAGTTTAACTCACAAATAGACCCTTTTGCTGTGCTTTATCCACCCAAAATCCCATCTCTGCTGGAAGAGAAGTCACAGTCGTGGATAAAACGGTCCAGGAGAGGGACAGGGAGACCCCAGAGCAGCTGAGGGGGAGGGACCACTCTGGGATGTCTCTGCCCTTAAAATTTTCCATCCCAAAAGGGATCCTGATCCTGTACAACCTAAAATTTCCATCCCAAAAGGGCTCCCGTGCAACTTCAGATTTTCATCCCGAAAGAAATCCTAATCCTGTGCAACTTAAAATTTCCATCCCAAAACAGATCCTGAGCCTGTGTAGCTTAAACTTTCCATCCCAAAAGTGATCCCGGGCCTGTGCAATTCAAATTTCCATCCCAAAAGGGCTCCTGATCCTATAAAGTGATACAGGAAGGTTGTGAGAGGACGGGATGGGCTGTAAGGTCCCTCAGGAGGTTGGAATTTGCTCTGTGGAGTCAGCTGGAAGGAGGTTTGGGGGGAATTTCTTCCCATTGTAGCATCTCCATGGAGAAAAAGGTCCCAAAATCTCTGTCTCTTGTCGGGTTTGTCCACGTGGATTTTCACAAATAAATGTTTCTCTGGTGAGACCTTGTTGTTGCCAGAGGTTAACTGGGGACAGGGCACAACGGGGGGTGGGAGGAGTGGGAGGAGAAGGGGAAGGTGGAGGAGGTGAAATTAGGAAGGAAAGAAAGGGGTGGGAGGCAGAGGGTGGGTTAGGGGAATCTTCGGGGTGAGAGGTTTGCTCTGGAACGTCACCACTAAAACAAGGAAAAGGACAACCCCCACAATTCATCCACAAAGCTGGGACTGGGCTCAACATCACTGGGCTGGGCTCAGTGTCACTGAATCATAGAATCATAGAATCATAGAATCACAAAATCACAGAATCACAGAACCACAGAATCACAGAACCACAGAATCAGCTGGGTTGGAAGGGACCTCTGAGATCATCCAGTCCAGCCCTTGATCCAACCCCGCCGTGGTTCCCAGCCCATGGCACTGATGCCACATCCAGTCTCAGCTTAAAAACCTCCAGGGATGGAGAATCCACC